TTATTAAAACATGCATTCATACCACAGTTTAACACACATCTGTTGACAGTGTTGGTAAAGGGAAACCAATCCTCAATCAGTGGTGCTGAACAAGGATTTAACTATACAACCCTACTCAACATTCTTGTTCCACTGTCTTATTATAGTACTAAATACTGGGCAGGAAAATGTTTGAGTGGCATTAGTTGGCAACATGTTATGAAGAGCTACAATGAGCTATATGTACTGTAGTCTGAAGACAATTGTTTGACAAAAGACTAAACTGCCTTGTAGGTGAGACGAATGAAACAGGGAGTAAGTGGGACACTTCTACACTAACCTACATACTTCAAAGTAAATACCGTGACAGAGCAGTAACACAAGCCTTGAATAATAGCTTTGTGAACAGATGGTTGTGTGCCACCCACACATACAGGTTCAACTAGTTCTCTCATGAAATCTATTAATTTTCTCTCTAAGAAGACAGCCACTACTAACGTGAGAGAATGCCTTTCATGATTTTGGATTGAGTTATTTTGGAGTTATTTTTCTCTTAATCCCTCAGCAGATTAAGAAAAGTAAGTATCTCATGTTTAAAGAAAATTAGTTATTCTGCAGTAAACACACTGACTGCAACTGCATAAACAATAACATTTGCTTTTGGTAAATAATGAATAATTCCAAAAGATTGCCTTAGTGAAAACTGTTTACATTCAGTAAATGGCCTTTCTGGTCCAGAAACCTTTCTGGTTCAGTAAGTGGATAGTGGCCAACTATACTTAACTATGTCATTTGGGAAAAGAGTTTTTCAAATGTATCTTCCCAGGGCTTTAATATTACCGTAGAACCATAGTATCGCTTTCCCTCCTTATCTCACAGATAGCTGCTCACATGTTAGCAGCCAGTTGTGACATACCAGCTTGGATTAGAAGCCCCTGTTGCCATGACACTCTCAACACCCTAAAATAGAGATAGAGAGGGACACTCAAGACAGCAACAACTAGCAGCTGCATCATACACACAGGCACTGGACCACATAAACGGCAGAGCAAAGCCTGACTCAGGCAGTCAGAGTGAAAACCCAGAAGAAGAGACGCATCTTAGATCTGAGAAAGATACAGACACCAGACCTGAGAACGGCCTTGACAGTGTCAAGAGATTTCAGCAACACTTTAAAAGTGTTCTGAGACACGACAACAAGTGGCAGACATATGAAAATAGTGGAACCACAAGTTAAGAGTTAGGGAGTCTAGAAGAGACAGAAGCAGCCACGTGAAAGCTGAAATACTTGACTCAACAGGGAGAGACAGAGTGAAACATGGCCAAAATCACAGAAGGTAAGACAGAGCTTCCTCTACTGATTATGGAGCTGTGTAGTAACAGAGATGCAATGTGATGACAATTACCTGTTATTAAGAAGTTAGTTTGAGGTCTAAGGTCTGAGGCAGTGAGATTTGATTTGAAAATTCACTTCCAGATTCTCAGATAAGTATCCCAACTTTTAGCCAAAAGTGACAGCTGAAGCAAAAGGGATTAATATACTATTTAAAGGGAGTGTTGTGAATTTCTGAAGAATTGTATTGATGCAAGAAGTTTTGTGACAAGTTAAGCTACATAATGTTTTTCAAAACAACAGATCAGCATATTAATTGACATTTTATTACATATGTTAGAATACCCTGCTGACATACCCAGACTGCTTTGTGTAGATCAGGTTTCTATAATGGGGAGGATGTAGGTCAAGGTCATCATAGAGGCTCAGCTGTTCTAGTAGGGAGAATGTACACATCCTGAGAGGCTCGTCAGGAATGACTCCTACAGAAATGTTCTTGCCGAGGTGCAACGTGAGGGCAATGTTAATGGTGTCACATGTGAAGGCGCCAAGATTGCTTAAAGTTTTCAGACTGATAGGGTTGCATGTAAACCACATAGCATGATGAGTCTGCAGCAGAGAGGTTTGCTACTTGATACAATGGTACAGAATATCCTGTCTTGTACTTGTTGATTCAAATACCTCCACAGGAATTGATGCTGGAACTGGCCAAGTGACCTACACTGGCTGCAGCATTAATATTATTAGTAACAGTGATGACATGGCCATCAGAATAGCCAAACATCTCCAGTACTGATGGGATGTTGGACAGCAACAGTAGTTTCACACCAGAGAGATTAAGCAAGCAAGCAGAGCTATCTAAAACCAACCCTGCTGTCCTTCATCTAGTCTGATCACAATGTGAATTCACAGGGTCTCAAGTTTAAAAATAGGACCCCAAGTTCATGCCATGGGTATGTATGAGAATCGGGTCAATAGAAATAAACATTACTGTTTTCCAACCAAAAGTTCCAGAGAACCAAAATGATGGTATGCTAATAGTTCTGACCACAAAGGGACAGACATTCCTTTTCCATTTAGAGTAAAAGCTGGAAAAATGGGAATCATGCATGCATCATCACAGTACTTATATACAGATTCCTTGGGAATGTTTACTTTGCTTACTGTTCCCAAGTGGATCTGGTTTAGAGTTTCTGCAAAAACACTAACTTATAGAGTGAGTTGTTGGGAAAACATTTTGATTAACTTTAAAGATTACCATGGAAAAATGCAGCAACAATGAATAGCATTAAAACTCAATATAAACTCAACTGTCAACCAAACTTCTATAAATCATGCCCCAATAGAGCATTAATGCAGATACATTACAAAACTCAAACGTTATATAGCACCTATACTGCATGATAATATCATGCTATTGGATTCAAAGCAACTAGACTGACTTAAAAATGATCGCACTATGTTCCACATCAAACTAAGCAGTGATGCACCGGCAGACAAATAACACTGTGAAAGCAAGATCTTTGCACGTTTTCTGTTTTGTCTGTGTTGCATACCATTCCTAGTGCTGCGTAATCCCAGAAAAAGTTACCCTTAGCCCCCCAGAGGGTTCTGAGGTCGGGCTCACGCCACGGCAATCTCTGACACCCGTGGCAATGATTTAGTGTGTTTACTGTAACGTGCCTGACACGTCGGCAGAACACTTGAGACACGTTTACTGGTGTGACTTAAGAGGAGGCGTTGCAAAATGTGCCAAGTTCATCCCTTAACCCCACCACCCCCTAACTCTAACTCATCGCAGGTCTCATGTTTACCTTCCCGGTATTTGTATTTACTGCCACCACTGAGATAATGTTATTTCTGCTTTAAGTGCTTCCATATTTCATCACATTTATGAGATGAAATATAACATGTTAGCAAGTTGCTCAGATTCTAAAACCATGTTATTACACTGAAACTGTAATCCCAGTCTCAAGTACACAGACCACAACATAAAACTACTTCAGTAACTACTAATAGCTGCTGTGAGTAACTAAATCCCCAGTGATCATAATTATCCTGCAATATCACAATAAAGCAAGCATGTACTTTCTGTAATTGAATCTTTGCCCAGCACCAGTGAAGGAGAGTTTGTTGATTTTCTACTTTCTGCTAAATTCCCCACCTACTGAAGTGGACCAGCAACATAACTGACATTTTAACTGTCAGGACTTACCTTTTTGAACCCAACCCAACCCAAAACGATCCACTACACCTCAAATCTTTCTCAACTCACTCAGAAATACCACGGCTTTTCCCAAGAATGTCAATGAGTGAGGTGGATGAGAAGGTACGTCTGCGAGCAGAGAGGGTCTACGCCTCTGCCCTAAAAGGGGAAGACACCAAGGATGCTCTGGCAATGTTCACTGTGCCGGAGGACTGTCCCATCGGTCTGCATGAGGACAGGGAGCGAGCGATGCAGAAGGAGCTGGCTGAGCTGCAGTCTCAGGAGTCTACCAAGAAGTAGGAAATTATAATATGTTTGATACAATATCAGGGATGCATTGATTGGGAAATTCTGGGTTGATACCAGTGCTCAAAATAACAATTTGGCCTTTAGCCGACATCAATGTTTTTGTTATTTATTCACTCTTATTCACCCTACTCACCAGTACCGATGTTCAGCCGATATATTTGTGTATTCCCTTAAAAAAAATTGTCTTACTGCACTGCCCATTTTTCCAAGAAAACCAAAGAAAATACTACCAATTTTCTTGCAGTGGACCTAAGGCAGATGTGAGCTTTTAGGGTTTGTCTGGAAGGTAAACCTTGTCCTCTCTGATGTGTCACTAGGAAGAAGAGTTTCATGTTGAAGCGCTCGCAGTCGGTATCTTTGCAGTTACCCGTCACTGCTAAATGGGCCCAGTCTATGGGGTCTTCAATGCTCTCCCCACCCACACCTGAACCTGACCTCCCAGAGGGCTTTCCAGACTTCCAGAGAGTAACCATCAGTGGAGATTACTGTGCAGGGGTAAACAGGATTAACACTCCAGCACTTTGCTGCTTAACTAAACAGAATATGAACTGTAGCTTCACACATCCCCTTGCACTATACCATCATTAAAAGAAGTGGCTGTAAGCAAATAAAGTAAAAAACAGACAAGATAACAAGACTAAAGTATAGCCATAGTAGAGACTCAGAGAGGCTACTATGGTCATTTCACACCAGTTATTTTTAGATTCCAGGTGTTGCCATCAAGCTGACGTAAGGCAACACCAGAAACAGCATGCATTAGCTATGGACCGAAGTTTCAATGAGTTATTACAATTCTAAAAGTGCATTTAAAGTCATACTTTGTTTTTAAAATAATTTCTTGCAAAACTAAACACTAAAACTTTTCCATGACCTTTTCAGATCACAGTTGAGGATTATGAGCAGGCAGCCAAAAGTATCCTTGGGGCGCTGTTCATCAGAGAGAAATACTCCAGGTTGGCCTATCACCACTTCCCCAGGACCACTGCCCAGTTCCTCCGCAATGCCGAAAATGAGAAATGGAGGGAGGAGGATGAGGTTTTGCCAGGTAGGGGCATTTCGAAAACATCCCCAGTTCCTTATTGGAAAAATTCTACAGGTTTTGTTTTTTTCTTTCTAGTCAATACATTTGCGAAGAGGGAGGAGCCATTTTGGGAGCCCCTGGTTTAGTTTTTCCCCATAGGCAATGTTACGTGACTAAGTTGGAGCACTTCTACAGCTTGGATGGACATTAAGCACTTCCAGTTAAATCATCATTACAAAATATTAAGAAATGTGTCAGAAAATATCTGCTTTTTCAATAAATTGAAGTTACAAGCCCAACTATGGCAATGAAGAGGTTTAAATTCCTACTGCTCTGATGTGCCAGACAAATCACAGACAAAACATGGTTTCTCTGAAACAAAGCAAATAACTGATAACTGATAGCCATAGTATAAAATCTCATCTCAGTCCCACATTTCTAAGTAACATTGAGTATATAAAATGCAATGGGGAAAAAACACTACAGGAACCAGCAGCCCATCCCAATTTGAAACTTTATTAAGGGTTATGTACTTCCATGCTAAACCAATACAACTGTAGCTGTTCCTGCAGCTCAAACAACCAACATTACACTTGTATCTGGGTAAGGAACAAACACAGAGGATACAGTAGGTAGGTACGGTACCGGGGTAACTGAGGAAAAACTGTTTAGGTCCTGTAATGGAAAAAATGGAATACTGGTTTGGCTGTCAGTAAGCTATGATTAGCTGACATAATGAAGACAACTGTCTGTATGTGGATGGCACTCTCACATCCAAGGTTAGCAAAACAATTCAGGCTGAGAGCAGAAACAAGCAGAGACAATATAAGAGACTGATAAAGTACCTGCTATTTACACTAGAGTAGTAAAAAGAAAGCTCTTCAAATAAAACTAATGAAACTATTGCAACAATGATTTGATGTCAAGGGTTAGGGATAATATATCCTGTTTCCATTTTGTTACCTAATACCTAAATGTGTGTCAACTATTCTCTACGCCTATTTTTAAGACCTCTCTGTGTGTGTATCAGAGGTAGTGTGATGAGTGTGTGAGCCAAGGTCGAACTTTCCCTGACAACACATAGATACAGGCTTCCAGAAGCTTCTCCTGAATGCAATACAGCAAAAAAGAGGTAGAGACAATGTGTGAGATTGGTGGTAAGACTTACAAGGCAAATTAATTACATTTGGTTAAATTAAGGTAAAGATTGTGATGTTTTTAAACATATGAAGTGAATACAGTAAGTTTAAAAGCTCAAAGGGTCATAGGAAATAGTTTATAAAGAATAATGCTCTAAAACACTCTAGAAAGCAAACAGCACTCTGCATAGAAAATAAAGAGGAACTGCTTTATCAGCTCTAACAATGACTAGTAAAAGATTAAGCCACGACTGATATTAGTTTAGAATAAACAGGGTACAGACTGGATAGTTTAGCGTTATCAACAGGGTAACCATTTTAATCACCTAATGAACGAAGCCTACAGTAACTCAAACTTCAGGAACAAAATTTGAAGACGACAACGACATTATCTATATATCAATGGTTGAGTCTTCATGAAAAACTTGTTAGTGATAGAGCAATACTCAAATGTCACAAAGCTTATGCGGCATGTAGTGTAAAAGTACAGTCCATTTACCATTCACCTTGTGCAATAAACAATGACTGGGTGCAAAACATAAGGTCCCATGCATATAATGGATTCCATTTTTAATTGTGCAACAATACTCTTATTTTTGTCTATTATCTATTTTATCATGGTAAAATATTGATTATAATACACAATTTATAATCCTGATAACGTAAATACAGTCTCTGAATATTTTCTCATGAGGTTAGGATACTGTTTTTGTCCATACAACTCAGTCATGTTGTAACGTACACGCTATAGTTTAAATGACTAGGATTATCGCTCATTTGCTGTTTTGTTTATTAACTCCCATCATCTGTAGACATCTGGCCTTTCCCTCATGAAGGGGAGGACCCATACTCTTTGGAGGGCATTCCTGAGGACCTGAACTACGAGCTGCAGATGAAGGATGGCATTGTTCATGTTTACGACAGTGCCGAGGCCCTCAAACAACAGCAGCCCCACAGCCTTCCTTACCCTGACATTGAGACCTTTGCCATAGACCTGAGCCATGTCCTCGCAATGATAGCTGACGGTCCAACGTGAGAACACAGATATTTTGCTATATTCTTAACAACAATAGGTCAAATGGTACATTTTGCACCGTTTTTAAACTTATATTTCATAACTAGTCAGCAAGGTGGTGCTGAAAACTAGTTTTTAAAAATGACATCTCTTATTTCCCTATATGTTTGCTGATCTTATGCTGTGTTGCCTCACAGGAAAACCTACTGTCACAGACGGCTGAACTTCTTGGCCTCTAAATTCTACCTTCATGAAATGCTGAACGAAATGGCCGAGCTAAAAGAGCTGAAAGGTGTTTCCCACAGAGACTTCTACAACGTCAGGAAGGTGGGCTGGTATTTTTCCATCTTATTTAGTAAGAACTCTGTATCATAATTATGTAATACAATTAATATGGCCAACACTGCTTCAGCCTGAGCTCTGGGGCTGAAGGGCTGTCTCACTACAGCAGAAGTTATTTTTAACTTTACGGTCTTCAGTCTAAATAAACTTTATGGATCCAGTGTAACTTGTCCGTTTATGTCAAACACAGGTGGACACCCATATACACGCTGCTGCTTGCATGAACCAGAAGCATCTCCTGAAATTTATAAAGACCACATACCAGACAGAGGCAGACCGCGTGGTCTTGGAGAAGGGAGGTCAGAAGATCACACTCAAGAAAGTCTTCAGCAACCTTAACATGGACCCCTACGACCTGACCGTAGACTCTCTGGACGTTCACGCTGTAAGAACAGATTCATCATGACTGTCAAAGTTCTGAAAAACTGAAACAATTCCAGTAACATTTCTGTCAGACATGTTTACCGTGTATAGATTATTTAAAAAGACAATATTCTTGAAGCAATTGAATCAGGTAACCACATAATAACTCCATGTGCCTGCCAAGAAGCAATTTGTCTTTTTCAAATAGCTGCAGCTTATTTCACTAACCTGTGCTTATTGACACAAGGATGCAATTATGGGCGTTCATACATTTCATATGGTGTTATGCAATAATTTTCTATGTTCCATGCAAGGTCCTCTTAATGTGTAATCTGAAAATAATCAATATAGTCACTTTGTTGGAATGAGAGTGCGCTCATCAGTACAGAAGATTCACACTTTCCCTCCTAGGGAAGACAAACATTTCATCGGTTCGACAAGTTCAACTCCAAATACAACCCTGTGGGAGCCAGCGAACTGCGTGAGATTTACTTGAAAACAGACAACTACATCAAAGGGGAATACTTTGCACGTCTCATCAAGGTGTAGTATAAGTTCAATTACTAATACCATGCAACATCTTAAAAGGGAAACCAACAAATTTTGAAAATTATTAAAAACTCAATTAGTGCATGGGTGCAATAAGGGCGGGTAGGGCCTTTTGCTTCACAAATGTAGGCATGTTGGAGTAGAGCATTTTGCCTTAAAGGCAAAATGCTCTTCTCCAACATGCCTACATTTGTGTAGAATAGTTTATTTTCAGTGTATTTTCTGGAGATATAGCAAAGACTTGATGATAACTGTTTAAAAAAAAAAAAAAAAAGGTGTAGATGCCTTGCACCTACTGGTGGTAGACAACTAATAATGTTACAATGTGGTATATTCAATTTCTTTCATGTCTAATGTTTCTTTTGGAGCACAAAGAACACTTGGTATTTAGAAAGAGCGCAGATGTGACAGAATTATATGTTACAGTGTGTCACTTGCGCCTTATCAAGAAACACCTCCTGTGGTGTGGCGTCTGTTTCAGGAAGTGGCTAAAGAGCTGGAGGAGAGCAAGTACCAGCACGCTGAGCCCCGTCTGTCGATCTACGGCCGCTCTACCAGCGAATGGGAGAGCCTGGCAAACTGGTTCATCCAGCATAAGATCCACTCACCCAACATGAGATGGATGATCCAAATTCCTAGAATCTAGTAAGTGCTCAGTGGAAGCTGAGGCAGCAAGCATATTCCTTACAGTAAGTTATCTTAACACAAAAGGGCCTGAGTCCATTAAATGTGATGGTAAGAAAGACATTTGGAAAAAAGCAACATGACACCAAGTGTTGCAAAATTATTGTTGCCATGATAGTAAGCCATAGGTTACTAATAAACTCATTCATTCAGGTAGTTTATTTAGGATTATTGTTTTTGAATTAAAAATCACCATATCTGTGTTAAATATTGAAATGCTAAAATATTTGTGTTTATTGTATGAGCACAGGAGCTGATTTGATTCCTTTTGTCTTACAGTGACATCTTCAGGTCAAAGAAACTAATACCACACTACGCCAAGATGCTGGAGAATGTCTTCCTTCCCCTCTTTGAGGCTACAGTCAACCCGCAAAAGCACAAAGCATTACATGTGTTCCTAAAATACGTAAGTACTTTTATGAAGGGCGGAATCTCTAACAAACAGGACAGTTTCCTTCATACCTTTTTGATATATATATATATATATATATATATATATACAAAACTGATATAGATACATGCATCATTGTGTATATTAGTAGTAGTAGTATATATTTGTTTTGCAAATGTGCTAATGTTATCTCTGTTGTGTTGTAGGTAACAGGATTTGACAGTGTGGATGACGAGTCCAAACACAGTGACCACATGTTCTCTTACAAAAGCCCGAAGCCTGAGGCGTGGACCACAGATGACAACCCTCCCTACACCTACTACCTGTTCTACATGTATGCCAACATCATGGTGCTCAACAACCTGCGCAAGTAAGTCCTACACGTTTGTGCATGCAACAAGAGTGGTTTTATGCCAATAAATTCCAATTCAATTAACTCCTCGGTTAGGTTACTTGCCGCGTATAAGAAAGTCTTCATGGTTGTGTACATGATTTGAATAGGGAGTCCCATTCATCTTGTTTTTCACAGGCTAAAAGGTAATCACAGGCCAGACAAACATGTTCACACATAGGTAAATTCAGTTTCCAGCCTGACCTGCATGTCATTTGCATCTGTAATAAAGCCTGCCAGCCACTGCTAAATGATTCCAGAGTCCAAACTATAAAACTTGTTGCGCACAAAAATGGCACATGTACGGGTATGTGCACAGAATAAAGTTTATATTAGCACGTCTTTTACCTACATATTTATTTATGTATTTATTTCAATAGCCACACACTCATGAAGATGTTTCACACAGAGACGAAAGCCTTCAGCATTCACATTCATCACAAGCACAGGCAACAGCAAAGAAAGTGCCACATTGTTATTCTTCTTTCGTGGCCTAAAACTAAGGCTAAATAGACAGCTTCAATAGTACATATTATTATTGTTATTATTATT